GTCGAATGAATGCTTTATACCTAATTTAGTTTAAATTAGCACTATTCAGCAATGCATACCTACAAACATGAAAAGACCAATGCATAAAATGATATTTGAATTCTGTTATTACTTGAGCTTTGACAAGCATAATATCCTTTACTACATAGTTTTCAAACAGCTAAGAAGGATAAATATTATAAAGTTCGTATACACAACCTACTTATTCTACTCATAAAACATAATTTGATTTAAAACATAAGTACATCTTCAAAGATTATATTCAAAGTACTAACAATACAAATTAACACTATTTAATACTTTATCAGTCAAAATTTTTTACAGCTAAATGTATACCAGTGAAATCCTGAGAGGTCAAAGTAGAAGAAGAAGATCAAAGAACACATTACGCCGAGAAATGGAGACTGACATGAGAAGAATAAACAAAAATTGAATAGAACTAGAAAGGAAGGCCCAGGACATAGTGGGTTGGACAATGTTGGTCAACGGCTTATGCTCCATTGGGAGTAACAGGCGTAAGTAAGTAATTAAGTAAGTAAGTAAGTATACTAGGGAGAAAAAGTAAATAAAGTCCCATAGTAACCTATATTGTCTATGATATCTTCACTTAAAAAACCAATCATATTACATTTAGAGTTAAAATAATATTAATAAAATAATCTTGTACCATTTAAATTACTCACCATATAGTTATTTAAAGTTATTAATATATATTTAAGTATCTCCACAAAAATAAACAATAAAGTTGAAATAATAATTTCTTGATATTGTACAAGTTATCCAACAATGAAAAAATGAAAAAGAAAAACAATTCAATCTTTCTTAGATCTTAGATCGTCATATTTAAACAAAATATATTCCTTTTATTCATTCAATTATTCAATAATCAAACATATATATATAACATTCAATTAATTTCTTCTTTTTTTGTTAATGTTATTTAAATTACATATTCATGATTGGTTAATTTAATTTTTTTTTGTGTAAAATTCTATAACCTTGGGAAATCGATTTTTTTCATTGATGAATATTAAAAAAATGAAAAAAAAGATTTTCAATGAATCATATAAATTAAGTTTTATAAATGATTATTTTAATTGAATGATTATTGAAAATTAAAAATTTGAAATGAAAAATTTAAATTTTTAAAAAAAGAAAAAAAATAAATAATTAGTTAATATAAAGTACATAAAGATAAGAAGAAGATAATGAATTTATGAATGCTTTTGTTTTATATTCATTTCTATATAAATATTATAATTGTTTTATCCCGTGGAATCTAAAATCCGGATATCAAATCCGGATCTCTTAAAAAGGGGAGGTGTTATATCCTATGGAGAATTATGAATGGTAACTTTGAGAACTATTTATGGACCAATATGATATGTATATTTCCTATTGTATAATTGCTATGTAGCTAAACTATTCATATTCATGTTCCTTTTATTATGAGCTTTATTTTGATCCATAGACCATTACTGTACGATTTACCATTCCTGAGTTATGCTCAGTCTATTAATTACTGTTCCCCCTATTCACAGCCACATTTGGCCAAATTTTGTACAAATGTTATTTTCTATTTTATGGTACGATGTGGTCTGTTTGTTTGGTATATAAACCCAGTATGTTTGAGAATAATGACTCATATTGCAAAAAAAGGAAACAGATTTACTGTGTCCATCATATTGGTCCATAAATAGTTCTCGAAGTTACCATTCATAATTCTCCACGTGATATAACAATAATTTAATTGTATAAAAAGTGTATTGTAGTGAACAGAACACTGGTTGGGGACAATCGAATGTATTTAAGCGAAAATTACAGACTATATCAATAAATTCTGATAACCATACAACGAACAGATAATTTGCAAATTAACAACCAATTGCCATCTTTACATGATCACGTTTTAGAACGTTGTTATTGTGATATTAAGTCTGTAAGTTTAACTGTCTTGATCGATATAAAATGTGACCGAATATGAAACTTAATAATCTAAGTCTCATATGGAACTGATATTTAAAAATTAAACAACTGACTAACAGAAATTTTATTCCTGACCAATAAAATTATACACTTATCTGTAATTTAAAGTTGATGTAAACACAGAAAGTATAGACAGTATGACCTATGTGTTCGTATAGATAAGAGATGGTCATCGGAGGTCTGATGTATTTGCATTTTCGAATAATAATCCATTTTCTAGTCATTGTAACCTGCTAGTTTATGTCTATAAAACATTTTATGTCGCATATACTTGTTATCTACTGATAAGTTTTCTATTAAATTTAGATAGAATGGCAATAAATAGTCAGCAATAGAAACTTTTTTAGCACAACTCAATGGCAAATGTAACTTTTAACAAAACCAATTCTCAAAAACATAATCACTTGTATATAACAAAATGAAAAGAAATACTTTGAAGCTTATTAATACCACGATGTGATTTTATTAATGGTGATGTATGAAGCTAAGATACAGAGTAAATAGTCTTGAAAACTATTAGATAAAACAAATTCACTTAGTATTGTTTGTTTAGGACTGCAACTGGTCAGTCTCTAATTGGCATATGTGCATCCTGTGCGTATTGCCTCGATATAGCATTAATTCACAAGCATTATAAGCAAAGATAGATATTGGCTAACAGCGAAATCCAGGACGCGTGTGTCATCCTATTTGGGACTCGTCAGCTGGATGTACCTGCATCTCAGAGTTGATATTCACTCTAGGACGAAACGCGAGTCCTGGATTCCACTACTAACTACTATCCATCTTTGCTTATTGGATAAAATATTTTTTAGTATCTGAAGTGATTTAGTTGTTTTGAAGGAGCTCTTGTAAAATAGTCGACAATATCTATTCAAACTCTCGACATGATGCACGTATATAAGACATTTGTACAGATAAACTAATGGTAAATCATAAATTTATACTATTTTGTTCTCAATATTTTCTTATTATTCCACAAGACAATTTACATAATCAATCTTGTAATATCTTATTTTTTAGGTTTGTCTTTTGATCCTTAAACAATAATATGAGTTATTGTCCTATCCTATCTTTCGATCAAATCAAACTTTAGAGATCTGTAATATCTAACTCTTGATCAAAAACCATATAAAATTTCGGATTAAATAAATGATAATTAAAGGATATTTAAAACTTTAAGCTGACTAAAAATTTCATCAAAGTTTAAATGGTAGGATCCAATAAAAATTTCATTTTAAAAACATCTTATCAATTGTCTTCCACATATGTGGACAGATGGAGAATATTTTTCAAGAAATAAGATGAAGAAAGAGTGGTTCAACGATAACATCATTTTTAGTTGACCCATTTGTTGTGTGATCACTAATGTACACTTTTTCTGGTAAAGCTGCTTTAAGATCATGATGCATTTATCAAAAGAACTAGTTATGTGTTGTGAATTATGATTAAGAGTTAAAATTTTCATCAACTCTAATCTAAGCATTTTAAATTTCCTGTTCTATGATATAGTATTAGCGTAGTATGTAATTTATAGCTCTTCGCTGTTTTCTGACCGGTTAAGGTGGTTCGGACCTCAAGATCATCAGGTGATATATCTCAGCTTTATTCATTTGTTATAAAAATCGAAGTCCAATCACGTACATTTACTGTGCTTGCTTATTTCCAATGATTTCAACAGACACCATTAGGCCACGTAAAATCCATGGAAACGCCTTTAATTAACTTTTAAGACATTTATGAAGGAACAATTCAAATCAGTTGCCACACAGTAATTGCATAGTGTGTTTGGTGAAGCAGATTATTCACCTATCTATTTCCACAGTGTAAAATAAGGCAAATCGTGTGACAGATAAATTGTTCTGATCATGTTGGTTGATTTGTACACTTTCATATATTTGCCGTTGCTAATGTCTTCAAATTCACTATATTCAGTCGTATACTAATGACGATTAGCACTTAACCATATATCCTTTTAATATATTTTCCCTCTTTATCTAGGTTTGTCTACCTTTGTTTTGGTGTAGTTTGTTGATTGTCTGTTTTTCATATATTATCCTAGTCCGTTTTAAAATAAACAATCCGGTTCAAGCCACCTCCATTTACTTTCATGTTAACCTATTCACAACTAATTGTGTGAAATATAATCTTTCAGCTACTTTTTCTACTTCGTTTTTAATACCACCGTTAGCCAGGTGGGACTAGCTCAATTATTATACATGAAACTCAATTCGGGGGTTATATTTCTCTAGTGTCAACCTAGAGATATACGATCATGCAGTCGTTTCGTTCAGCTCTCGTTCCCATCGTTTGCATGAGTAAATGCACCAGAACTGTAACTAAAAACATATTGTAGTCAAGTAAATTCCCTAATGTCAATGAGGATGGACGGTGATATCCGTTTGAAGTCATTACCGCAAACCTCATCTACAGACTTTGGTTATTGTACAAACTGACTATTCTTTTATACTTGATTGCCCGCTCATTACGAAGTCCAGATATAATAGGTTCGTTTATGCTCACCTAGTTCTACTTGCCTTAAATTATACTATTTCGGGAATCTACAGTTGGCACATTAGTTTGAGTACTTCCAATTGTCATATTAGTGTTGCGATGGTGACTGTGACTGGACGGTTGGATATGCATTCAAATTCTGATGCTTTCGAAGATTACATGGAAAGATTTTAAACCTGGAGTATGACCAGAAAGGATGGTAAGGTTGTGGCTCACTTCCTTACACTCATCAGAAAGGATGTTTACAACTTGCTAAAAACTTAGAAATTTCCAAACATGCTTGTTTCACTTCCGTACGCAACTCTGAAACAGCTTCTACCAAATCATGTAAAGTATATTAATTTCGAATCCCGTGCTAGAGTGAAATTTCATATAATGGTTCTCCAGGGTAGTCGAAAGGTAAGAGAATTTATCCTTGAGTTGCATAAACAAGTCACCAATTGTATTCCTCGTGACCAATTCATGTGCAGCTGCGTGATCAATCAATTACATGAATTAATATACTAAATCCAGAGTAAGAGCTTATACAAATACCGAAGTGTTCCTTACAATATGTTAGAACTGCGTGTATTAATTATGAAGCAGTGCATGAAATCATGTTCCAGGACATCAGGAATTCCGCTACATTACATAGTTATTCTAATCTGATCCGTACTTAAGGTCATCCACACGTTCGTTTAATTGATGATAATTCTCGTTTTCGTTAAAACATAAATGCTAATTAATTGAGCAGTTGCCAAGCAGCTTACAGAGGTGAGTACAGGTTTGGTGAATACTTATCATGTGGCAAATTTCATTTGTCTAATTTATGTGTCTTTTGTCATACCAAATGCTGTAATTGGTGTAAAACGGGACACATGTACTCGGTTTGTAAAACTACTACTCATTTAACCACTAAGAATAATGAGCACTGTAGTTCGACTTTCATTAAGTTAGGTGTTTCTAATGATTATTTATCTTTATCCACCATCTCGAAAGGTAATGTTCATATTCAGTTGTGATTATGTACCTCCCCTGGTTCACTCCATGACTTCATTGTTGACATAGGAAGTATGGAGTTCATTATTTCATTCAAAAACTTAGAACCTTTAGATTACAACGCTGAAGTATAACTCACTGAAGTTACAGTATTGTGGATTACTGAACACAAATAAGGCGGCCTGCTTGAATACCTGGGCTACCTGTTTTCTGCCATCTAAATATTTCAACAAGTTATCTGGGTGTTTTTTTTAATTTGTTTTAACCTATCATTATGTCTATTAATCGCATAACCTACACAGGCGCGTTTATAAAATGCTTACGTCCTTTCGCTGCAAAAATTACAAACAAGCACAATAAGAGACATCGTGGTGGTTGGCAATATGCTTTAAAGAGAATAAACATCAATCAAATGTCGATTCCCGAGCTACTTAACTCTAACTGTCGATCACTAATTAACAAGGTGGACTATCTCCAATTTCTGCTAAGTCAAAACATGTATCGTAATTGTGGTGTCATCACAATTCAAGAATCTTGGTTAACTGACTTACAGGATGATTGCTTAGTGTCATTACGTGATTTTAATATCTATCGTCAGGATCGATCAAACAATAAAAAGACTTGTGGTGGCGGAGTAGCTACGTTTGTAAACGTTAACTGGTGTAGATCTACTTTTGCCTGTTTCAAGTTTTCAAACGACTTTATTGACTGTCTAACTTTAAGGTGCCGTCCAAAACACCTGAATAAATACAAATATATTTATGTTACCAATATCTACATGACTCCAGACTGCACATCATCTGCGCTATCTGTCTTCACTGATAAATTTACTGAATTCGCCGTTACTGCCTTCAGTGATTCACTTTCAATTGTATGTGGTGATTTCAATTCATGTGACTGTAGCTTCCTTACATCACTAGGTCACTAAATGTAGTAGATTTTCCTACTCGTTTGAATTCTCATCTAGACTTGGTTTTCATTAATGATGTGGGTGCCTATGTGACTCGCAAACGTGCTCCATTGTCTAGTTCGGATCACTGTATAATTCGTGTCTTACCTAAAGTATATGGTAAACATGGAAAGAGTACACACATACACCATACCAAAAAAGTAATATATAGGAATTACTCAGAAGAAAATTTACAAAATCTAAAAAACATGTTTCGTACGACTAACTGGGAATTATTTACAGATGACTCAATAGAAAACACAACGGATGTTATCACCTCTTATCTTAAATTCTGTTTTGATATTTGCTGTCCTACCGAAACCTTCTTTTTAAGTTTTGATCGACTTACATCTCCACAACTAAAACGACTACGGAGGGTAAAAGAAAGGATGTACAAGGAGAAAAACACTATTGAAGTTCGTAAGTTAAATGATCAAGTAAACCAAGAGATTAGACGTCTCAACTGTGTGTTCACTCAAAAACTTCTATCTTGCAGAAGCTCTCCAAGTATGTGGAAACTCTTTAAAGAAATTACAGGGGACAGGCAGACTAGAAGCGATAACCAGCTAAATGTTTGTGACTTAAATAAGTCCTTTATTCAACAGTCATCTGACATCATGCTCCCTATATCCAAGGGTTTGAAGAATAATTGTGTCCCCAGTTTCACTGAAAATGATGTCTGGAAATGTCTCCAGTCTCTGAATTCATCCCAATGTTTAGGACCTGATGGTATCCCAAACCTCCTTTTTAAAAAATGTGCCGATGTTTTATGTTATCCATTAATGAATATCTTCAACAGATCCTTCTCAACTAATGTCTTACCGAAAATGTGGAGAAAGATAAAGGTAATCCCTATACCTAAGAAAACTCCTGGTGATAAAAATGCGAAACTTAGACCCATAGCAATAACCTCACCTTTCCTCAAAATAATGGAAAAATTACTGATACAACCACTTCAACCTGTAATAAAAGAGCACTGTGATCCATATCAGTTTGCTTACAAATGCAAAAGAAGCACATTAGATGCCGTTGCTGTTCTGCATCACAATATAGTGTTCGGGTTGGAAAAGGGTAAGAAGTATGTTAGATGCGCTTTCCTGGACTTTACTTCTGCTTTTGATTCTATTCCAAGACACCTCTTACTTAACAAGCTGATCAGCGTCGATACTGACAGCTGGATAACCAATTGGCTATGTTCCTACCTTTCTGGAAGAGAACAGTACACTGTACTTGAAGGAAAGTGTTCAACATCTCTACTGTCTACTGTAGGTGTGCCACAAGGAGCTGTTCTTTCACCTGTGCTCTTCTCTTTCTTTTTGCATGATCTGCCATCTTCCACAGAAAACACTTTTGTAAAATATGCGGACGACCTCACCGTATGTATGCCAATTTCTACCTCCTTACATCCTATAGAAATGAATGTCTTTTTATCTCGTATTGAAAGGTGGTCTGTTGGTAATGGTCTCTTACTCAATCCATCTAAATGTCAAGCTGTTAATTTTAGCTTGAGACATGGACAGAACCTATACTCTATGTTGGGATCCCATAATGCTTGTGCCATTGGAGACTCCTTAATAAACACAGTGTCGAAGGTCAAATATCTTGGTGTTATTTTTTCCTCTGATCTTTCTTGGTCTTCTCATGTTTTACTATTATCGAAAAAAGTTTACCGCTTGACATACTACATAAAGAGGCTGCATGCTTTTGGGATTACTCGCCATTTACTATTACACTTTGTAAATTCCTGCATATTACCTATTATTCTTTACTGTTCTCCATTATTCTTTCCCGGGCTTTTGAGAAAAGACTTTGCTGTTTTACGGAAAGTGCTGAAGGCAGTTTGCAAGGTGTGTGGTGAATCTCTTGACGTTATTATTAATATGCTTGTGGATAGACATCTTAAGTCCTGCAAACTCCTAGCAGGTGTTATCTTATCAGATACTAAACATCCCCTTTATTCATATCTTTCTCCTTGTATATCTTCTGGTAGAACGAGACGTAAATACATTAAAATTCATGCACGCAAGCAAATCTATAAAAGTTCTGTAATACCTTACTTAGCTAATTTACTTTGTGACGAACAGGCTGTTAGAGTTGACCTAGTAAATAACCTGTCTTCTTAAGCATGTCTCATATTCGATAATTTGTATAAAATCAGATTTTCTTAAACCTTTTTTATATTTTATTTCTGTTTTTTGTTGTGTTTTTTTTGGTTTTATTTTTTTGGGAAAAAACTTGTTGAAATAACTCGTGCTGAGAATTCTATATTGTACCAGATTATAATATAGAATAAAGCCATTAATAATAATAATAATAATAATAATAATAATAATAATAATAATAATAATAATAATTAACAAACCGCCCATAAGTGGATGCTGTGAATTGCAAATTAGAGATGATAATTTTTCATAAATACCTTGTAAGTTTCTAGTCAGTTAAATTGAGCTACCACTACTGGGTTTTTAAAATCTGGAAGGCTTATAGTGAATTTGTCTTTATTAGCTTCAAAAAACGACTCTGATGTATTACTTAAAGGTTTTATAACTCCACGTGCTAATTGCTGTAATCGGATTAGAATTCAGGCTATAAAACTTCAAGTACAAAGTGATCCAGTCTTTTTTAATAGACGAATAATTCCTTATTGTCTTCAAGAAGCAATACATGAAACATTTAATGATTTTGCGCGAAAAGAATAATTGGACTGGGTCAGTCTTCATCATGGAGTACTCCTATGGTTACACCCTTAAAGTCTGATAAAGAATCCCTTAAAATTTGTGGTTATTATAGTGTAGCTGTAAATAATTCCCCAAGATCAGTAGCTTTTTAAGTGTTTGACATCGAATGCTGACCACATTGACTTAAGTGGACTTGTTTAGCTGAAGGCGTTCGGTCATGCATCCGCACCAGATAACGTTACAGCACTGCGTGGTAAACATCTCCTACGATCACTAGCCAGATTAGATCAATCGCTTCTCGATATATTGATAACGCATCAAATACGTCTTCCAACCTTTTCACTTCTGACTTTAACTGAGTGGGGCACGATTCCATTGTAGGTGTTACTGGTTAACAGTTGTCAAACTACAACACTGGTGGTATCTTCAATAGATTAACACTAAACTCCCGTTTGTTGAAAGAAACGTGCACAAGGGCGGAAGTTGAAGATATTCCTAATTGACTCCATGGTTCTAAAATGTTTTGGAAAGTTGAATTGAAATACTCTTATCTTCAAATTCCGGAAGATCAATCTCCATCTGTTTCAACAACAATTAACACTCCCTTTGGTTTATTCAGATACACTTTCATTCCACTTGGTTCAAATTGTTCTGCTGCCAATATTTCAGGAAGGGATGAATAAGGTAGTTAGGGATCTTGAAGGTGTTAGAGTTTATCAAGGTGATCTTCTTATTCATGGTTCTTATAAAGTAGCTCATGACCAGAGACTTATTGCTGTATTGCTTTGTTTAATTGAGAAGAATATTATTTTGAATACTAGTAAGTGTTCAACACAGAAGTGCCGAACAAATTCAACACGTTTATTACATATATCAACAGTCATTGCATTATAAAACAGCTGTTACTGCAATCTGTTTGTTATTACAATGTTTACCAGTGAGCCGTCCAGATTTCACTGAAGAGACTCGTCGATATTTTGGATGTATACTCAGTGCTATGCGAAAAGGTTGAAACGCTAATCTAAGAAGTAAATTTTCTGTCTATTTTTTTAAAGCGGAATGAATTATCCACTACTCCTGATGGTATTTTCCATTTAGATGGTCGTGTTGTTATTATTCCTTTATTGTGCAAAATCTTTCTTTAAAGATCTTCATAATGGAGATTTGGTGTTCAGAAAATGAAACTCTCCTCAAGACTCACTTGTTGGTGCTCGGGGATGAACGCAAACTTACGTCGTACAGCAAATAATTATGTAAGATATCATAAGTCGAAAAATCACCCTTCGAGGTGTAATCGACGGCCAGTGTCGTCTGAGGCCTGGCAGAGAATTCATGAAGATCAGTAGTGCCTTGCTTCGTTAATCATTCATCTCGATAACCGTTATTGCACCAATTTTAACGATGTGTAGAATCAGAAGGCAAAAGGAAGCGGCAACTACATTTTTATTGACAAATAACGTAGACCAGAAAGCTGTTGGCACATGAGCAAATGTTAGTGACACGTATTGGAGATGGCTGGGAAGCCAACCCGAGAGCGAAGCGAAAATAATACGTATTGGAGATGGTTGGGAAGACAACTAGCTATGAGTAAGCGTTAATCAATATTTATAATCAGACAAAAGTGAATGACAGACATATGATGAATAAGATACGAAGTGTGCATACACATGCGTTCATATAAAAAGGTAGTCAAGGTTAATAAGCGAATAATTAACAAGATCAAAATATGACTCATAAAGGACAGGCGAAATGGTTTGGCCAGAAGCTAGAATAAAGTATATGGGCTTAACATATAAACTGATACTACAGATCACTGTGAGCCACTTCACGTCAGTGATTTTTTCTGAGTGGCTTGAATTTTTTACAACCTCACAAAATTCTGAATTCATGATCCAAACATTAGGCAAAGATTCTAGTCAGAAGGGGTTTCCTACGGCATTCACGACTAATAATAAATCTCACTTTGTCGCAGACGCAGTCACTACTTGTTTGACTGGTATAGGGTGCAGAATATTACAGAATGTTGGAATATCTATGGTTTTAATTTTAAATATCAGCGATTTAAGTACACACAACCGACATTTCGATCAAATGCAATTCCAGGGACCGAGAGAGTCTATCCCAGTTCCGGTTACTAATTCTGGTACAAATAAATACATTCTAGATCACACAGAGTCTACGTCCAATACACAGTCGAATGCACACAATGAATTCTGGAAATTTGGATTCCCATTTAAACTGTGACGATCGTGGTATTTGTATTATCTGATGATTTCTTTTCACTTGATTGCTCGTTCATTACTTACTTACTTACTTACGGATTCTAAATATAATACATTCACTTGTACTCATTCAGTTCTTCCTGCCTCAAATTGCTCTATTCCAGGATTTACTAGCAAATCAACTGGAATACTTTTAATCGTCTTGTATACGTATCCCAAGTAATAAATCCCTAAGGACCACGTTGTAACCAAAGTCTACTACAAAAAATCAATAAGACATTAAGTCTGAAAGATACGATATCTTTTTATGACATCAGTGATTAGTCATCTTATGAGGAGATGCAATAAATGAACTCCAAGAGCCATATCGAATAAAATGAGACTTCCTTCTCGTTTGATAGACTACATAGCAGTTGTACTTAGTAACCGATCCTTGATGTTCAGAGCCTCATTTTATGCCAGCGAAATAAGTGTTTGGTGGTCGAACAGTAATATAGAGGCATTTTACATTTTTTGATGTGATTTGTTACTGCTGGAATGCGTCATAAATAATTGCACCCTGAATTGTGGTTTGGTATCTTCAAATTCTAGTCGTTGACTGTAAGTGACTCAGGAAAGCTTCGTTCACTTTACAGAAGAATGCAATGGTCGTGTTTAATAAAATGTGTTTTGGTTACTTAAAATCGTACTCTGAGTTCAGACAGAATCAACCTATTTCGCTCACTACATAGTTTACACATAGCTTGATGAATATCGTAGCTACCACTCAGCATTATGCCAGTGTTCCTACATAGAGTCTGTTTGCCTGAACATTAAAAACATGTGAAAGTCCCTCCGCGTACTTTTCTCTTTCCAACAATATCTTCGCTCTTTTCATATGTAACCTTTTCTCTGGTCATTAACGGGAACAAACCTCCTGGATGCTCAATAAGGTTTTGGAAAGGTGGGTTGTGCCCCTTCAACTCAATGTAAGTCTGATTAATGTGGTCAAGAAAGCTATTTTGACAATGTTTCCAACGCCATAAGAGTGCCAGTACAAATGGATTTTTTCTCCTCATTCATGTCCTTGCTATAAAAATAATTGAGAGGAATAATGACCTTTGCCATGTGCGAAGAGTTCACTCAGATTAGAGTGTTTTGACTTTAGGAGTCCTACACAGAACCTTATCTGATCATCATTTTTTTACTTTATTCTCGTTACTGGTTTTTAGAAAAACTCTAGCTCACTGGTCCTCCTTTATGCTTATGATATTAAACATTTGATAGCTTGTAGTGATCTGCTTTTCTCGACGAGAATGCGATTGGTATAATGGAAACAATTATTATTATTATAACTAATTGTACCAGTGATTGTTTTACTGTACTCGGTTTGTTTAACCGTGTCAAAATCACTTCTCGTTCCATCGCCCATCTTGTTCGTTCGAACTTTATTATGCTCTACCTTTTTGCCTGTAACCTTTGGCACATCCCAGTATTCTTTCGTTACCACGAGATCGCCAATAAATACACTTTATCTGGACCAATTACAGCCTTCTGGTTTACGACCTGTCGAAAGGACCAAGTCGTTTTCTGGCACGTAAACTTTATTGTAGTGGTGATCACAATCAGTTGAGAATCGACGCCATCTACAAGCTATTAAATACAAGGATGACCTGTTGGTTATATAGTGCCGTGCTTCAATAATAATTTACTTCGATAACCGTTATTATACTAATTTTAACGGTGTATAAAATCAGAAGGCAAAAGGAAGCGACAACTACATTTTTATTGATGAATGATGCAGACCAGAAAAGCTGCGAGCACATGAGCAAGTGTAAGCGAGCGAAGCAAAGATGATGCATAGTGGAGATGGCTGGGAAGCCAACTGGAGAGCGAAACAAAAATAATGCGTATTGGAGATGGTTGGGAAGCCAACTCGCTCTGAGCAAGCAAGTAATCACTACTAATCGGCTGGTAATGCGGCGTCCAATACTTGATTTAAGCATAGACATTAAACTAGGGATCATCGTGAAACAAAAATTGCGGAAGTTCGGTCTAGGTTGTCGCTGAAGGTGTAGGTAACGACGATTGCTGCGTACCAATGATATGGATGAACATTAGTTGTATCGTGAACATAAGTTCTTACTATCGGGAGTATAACTCCAAACTTATGTCTATGATAGAGTGTAATATTAGACTGAAAATGACATGAAAAAAATTGGAACGAACTCACTTAAATCAGGAATAATTTACGTCATTGGATAATAAGGATAATCCGGTGAGTTTCGAATATCATAACCTGTAATGTCCATATAATTATAGTTTGTTCGGTTAATAATTTGACTGCGTAAATGTCATAGTTTACTGTCAATACGAACAAAAATAATAATTCCACGTCAGATGATGATTTAACATCAATGGAATAATGAGCATATGATGATTATTCGAATCATAATGGAATAGGTCGTCGGCGGTTCCATTTTTGGTTTGTGTTTGCTCGTTGCGGTCGCCAATTTTGTTGCGTGTTCGCACGTACAGTTACCAATTATGTTGTGAGTTCGTAAGTTGAAGTTACCAATTTTGGTCCGTGTTCGTTCGGCGAGGCATCCAATTATGTAGTAGTAGTTTAAATCTGATTTCTTTTTGCTCGAATAAATGATTGTTTATTGTCGAAATAAACGTACTGTCTATCCTCGTGTGTTATAAATGACTTAATCCGCGTTGGTGAACAACGGAGTTGCATGCGTCAAATACGAGAATGGATTTAGAATACGTATATTTCCTATACTCATTGATCTGGCCAGTGAATCGGAGTGATGAAGCGAATAAAAGCGAACAAAGCGAAAGTGACATGCAGTGGAGATAATGCGTAGTTTGGAGATGGCGGGGAAGCCAACTCGCTATGAGCAAGCGTTAATCAATATTTATAATCAGACAAAAGTGAATGACAGACATATGATGAATAGGATACGAAGGGTACACATATACGCTCATATAAAAAGGTAGTCAAGGTTAATTAGCGAATAATTAACAAGATCAAAATATGACTCATATGACTCATGACAGGCGAATTGGTTTGGCTAGTAGCTAGAATGAAGTATATGGGCTTAACATATAAACTGATGCTACAGTTACCAACATAGATGATCTGTGCCGAATGGTTGAGGTTCTAATCATGTTAGACGGAAAGGGCGTGACCAGCCAGCCAACTTTGAAATTACACCTCACGGCTAGTACCTAACATGGATTGCCATTTCTTCGTATCCAATAACTATGGTTACTATGATGACTGTACAGCGCAAACGCTGCTATTCGCGGAAATGTATTGGTAAGAGCAGGTAAAAGAAGCACGTCATCATTGCCATTGCACTGTCCCTACAGACTTTTAGCTGACAATGGCAAATACAGGAGAGTCAAACAACAACTTTAAGTTAAGATAAGAACGTTATAGCTTGGAGCCAGTTATTTACTTACTTTATACAGGCACTCAATCTTCTATTTCGCCCTACTGAATAGTCAAATGTTTGTGTATTTAGATTATATAAGCCCATGATCAACTTGCTCTACGTAGCATGTAGAGAATGCAAGAACTAGGCTTTCTATCTAGTTCATTTTGATAAACCTGTTTCAGCTCCAAAACAAACCAATATTTAGTTGGGAAACTCAGGTGCAAGCGAATGCACCTACGTTTCCATTCCCGCGTACACATCACAAAGTGCAACTTGCACACTTCAAGCTTGTTACCTCCTTCATACCTACACAAAAATGATCAGAGACTAATTCTATAAGACGTTAGAAACTAATAACGATCACATCGGAAATGTAGATAAACTCTATATCATACTTTGTTCCTTCCAATTAATGGAACGAGCAACCCCGATTCATTATCAGACATTATAAAAGTGCTTGTGGCGTCGTCTTAAAATTAAAATATTATTACATTTGTGCGAAAATAGATTATGAATTTTTAGAGAATGGCAATAATTTCACAGAACAAATGGTTCTGTAAGTCCCTGGCATTCATGATGACCTCATTAGTTTTACCGGACACACCTTAACAAAAGAAGCTCGGTCACGCATCCTCAGATGATCACCATAGGGTACTCCGTTCTATGAATCGGTCGTAACAACTAGCCAGCTTAAATCAAACGCTTCTCAAACTATCGAAAAGCCTCTAAATATGTCCTCATACTCCTTCATTTCTGACCCCTGGTTTGACAGGGGTTTAGGATCTCCCTATCACAAGAGTTATCAAACAGTGAATAACCGTAACATCTTTATATGTATCTGTGATGATTTGAAGTATTTGGATTATAGTACAAACTAGTAACCTCATCAATAACGCAATTTAATCAAGAAGTATTAGATGAGCACGAATGAATGTATTGTATTTGGAATTTGAAATTAAAACAGTCTTCAATACCAACAAATCATTGATTCATAAAAACATCACAATATCTGTTCTATATAAAATGTCCTACAAATCGTGGTAACCACAGTCTTAACAGTGGACTGTTGTATGACTGTCAAAATAAATCGACGGACTCACCACCAACTGGAACGGTAAATGGTTTTACAAGACGAGGTGAAACCCCACTCATAATTTTTCCCATTACCACGCTTCTGAGTACCTATCTCCACTATAATCTGAATTTCATTCTGTTATTTATCTGTCTCAACCATTTCACTTCTCGCTTCTCCCTACTTTTCCTGTTTATACTCCAGTATCCTGGTGCAGCAAGATCAAAAACGAGGGCGCTGGCTTCATAGCTTACGTAGACTCTCGGCTTTCCCCATGATGCGTCACAATTTCTCCACAAGAAAACACTTCAGCCCTCATATCACTCTAGCAAGTTTCCTTTTGATGTAATAAAATAGCTAATTATCTCATTAACCCTACTGTTCGATGGAGGAATAGAAATGAAAAATTCAAACTCAAAATAACCTTTCGTTAGAAGAACAGAAACAGGATTCGTAAGTAGACTGCATTATACACAAGTGAAAACCTGAAATCTCATCCTGATGACAATATTCCAGTTCAAAGAAGGTAATTGGCTTATGTTAATTCATCACATAGATATTGAATACTGTACAGGTACAAAATTCTGATGTAGAGCTACTGATGGATACTGAGTGCTTCAGTCGTCCTATTACATCTGTGAACTTTCAAAGAGATGCGGAAGCAGCTGCTGAGACATTTCCATCGATCCAAACTAAAACTAACTTTTATACTATGGCTGGAATTCTGGATTTCCTGCAGTTGGAATGGTCAAGAATGCAATCAGAACGAACACAATGGGATGTTGAGAGAGCAGAATTGCATGTAAATTTATTGTCTTTAGCTATTAGTTCGCTTAGGCGAGGATAGCATTCCTTCAGGGTAAATTTAGGGGACTTGAATGTCTTCGGAACGATTTGATTCGTCGAATCAAAATGTTGGAATATGCCTTAATAAGAGAAAGAAGTAACAAAACTCAAGATGGGCAATCCAAAGAAAACGAAGAAAATATGATAAGCGTGCATTTTTCTAGGTCTGATTTTGGTACAGACCATTCAAAAACAAATGTAGATAGTGAGTGGCAAAATGAAAATATCCAGCTGAGCAAGTAATTTTCCATTTTTTACTCACATACATAGGTACTTAAATGACTCAACTTCATCTGACGTTTCACATACTTCTGGTAATCCAGCACTCTGCGATGCTTCTGGAGTCAGTTTGCTAGTCAGTGATGGTCTCAGTTCAGAAACTAATGTTCTCCAAGGGTCTCTTAAATATGGTATGTAGTTGCTTTGCACATATAATATATATGCATAAAATCGAGACAGTTCAAAAACATATTCATATAAACTGCCTAATAGTCAAGTTAGAATGCCATGAGCTGTGGACAATCAAGCTGTATGTTGTACTGGTTTGTATGGTTACGGGCAGAATTCCTGCTAATTTTTTTGAAAGGAAAGTTGATGTAACCTCGGTGTCGAACGTTTAAATTGTGACTGGCGAATACTCTCTGGACTAGTTAGTATTCATCTGAACTCTAACTTAGTGGATGACGTGTTAAAGTTTAAACCGGTAGTTAATCAGTCTTAGTCTCTTTGTTGTTACCAACAAGTTGGATGCAAGTACTTGAAGTTGATTAGCCTCCAATGGGACAAAACATGCATCTTGGATTTCAAAGCTATTTACATTCCAAATACACTGAAAACTCGTATTGGAAGGGCAGCATAAAGCCGTTCAACTAAGATGTGCATATTGTTAACTAAGACAAATCAACTGCAATCTTGAATATTAATAACAAGATAATGCACACCTTTGTACTTTTTCATCCTGCCTTTGTGTCCCTCGCCATCCCTGACATCCAGAAACAGTAGAAAGTACTGAAACCTCATAAACTGCATATACATGATATAGTTGTCATCAAAGCTTCCATAGTTGCGAAATGTTTCAACAAGATGTGAAGAATGTGTAACTAGAGGTTACATAACATCGCTTAATTATGTATAAAACCAAAGTAAATCTGCTTTCCTGGCTCTTTGGATTTTCCAATAATTTTTTTAGCTAGTGTTTTACAAAACAGTATTCGGATAATCAAAAAAGTGCATTAGCAATCATTTCCAACTTGATGCATGGGGGCTAGATCAGATTGGGTCATGCGGTAATCCTGTATAGTATCGCTTATCTGGTTCAGTCAATCCCCCTTTTTTAACTTCATTTTCTATGGTAGTTAGGATTTAAGCGTAGTGTATTGACGTTTTTTTCCATGTATTAAATAGATATAAAATGAATGTCATGTACAACATACGCAAGGAATTTTACCCAGGTTCTGTTATGTATATGTTCTCCTCACCTTAGTTAAACCCAGCAAATTAGAATAAAGTCACCAGTCGGAAGCTATACTGACAAGTTCTTATCACTAGTATGTTTCGCAGGGTTTTTTTTATTTCTCCAAGACTTTTTACAGTATTGTTTTGCTACTCATATAGATGATTCTGAGTTAAAGGGTTTTCAAAATTCACTGGAACTTCCCATAGAACATTGCGGTTTAGAACAAAATAAACAATCACAAGATGGCCCGTCTGACTTCAGTTTGTCTAACAGTTCCAGTTTCGATTACTTGGCACTTACGGTATGTACCAATAATTTTTTATTGCTGAAATGTTTTTGTTTCACGTATTCATTCAGATGTGTAATTCAGTAACCAGGTACAGACTCATAGCTAAATTTAACCCGCATTCTAATAATATCCACTGATACTATCTTGGCTCCGAAACTGAAATAGTAGTATATCCCTTTGTACTTGAAACCTCATAGTTTAAATATGAGTCTCTTAAACATCAAGCCAATATTCACTCAATCCCTACAGTGGTCCTGTAGATGCAATCGTGCGATTAAAAGCTATTTTTACTGGGGAAGGCAGAAAATACCCTTTGATCATGATTTTTAAATCTACTCGACCTATTCTGGCTAAATCGTTTGAGTGTATATTGCTAACCCCCACTTAATAGCTTAAGGTTTTTTACTCAAACTTGTGTGTGGTTATTAAGTCACATAAAGTTTGAAAAAATAGTATGAATGTGAAGAACAGAATGACTAAATGTTGTAGCAATAGCTAATAAATATTTATGAAAGAAAATAAGAAAGAAATAGAAAGCGATAAATTATTATGAATAATAGATTGCTTGAGTTTCTACTGTGCATAATTTTTAATGGTATATCTTAAAAATCAATTATTTCGACCATGTGGTTGATTTCGAAAAAAGATTCTAGTGAACCAATATGACCTAAACTTAATAGATGTTCCAAAATTGAACTGTTTACTGATTTCTGTAATCCTTAAGATGGTGAGGCAAAAGACTGTCCGGAGTGCGCCTAGAGTTCATTTTTTGAGGTCAATACGACTCGCTCCACAAGTATTTACCAGTTAACTTGCTCTTATAGAGCGGGTTATGTTGACCGCACACCGTTGAACCTCTCTAAACGCATCTCCAAACAGTACCCTACTTGATCGTCCTAAAGATTACACAAGTTAACAAACAGTCTAATCTTGAAACATTTTTTTAAGTTTTTGATTACATTGCTTCACTAGTATCTTTCAAAATCATCTGTACGGCCATAAACATTTGCACCAAATGTGGTATACAAAGCAAAACGTTTTGCATAAAATAAGCTCTGGTAACCCACCAATTCAAGCATAAACTGTGTGTATCAGAATAATACATATAATCTTCCATTCTACAGTGGTCTTGGCGTTTATTTCTATTTTCCATACTTAAAAATTTTTTTCGTTTTACTCCTAGCTTGTTTCACAGATATTAATTAGTTACTATTACAACATTTAATAAGTCCATTCTTTACATTCACTAAGTAATCAATTATCTTTCCTCTACAAACAATCATCTTAACATTTTTATTTGCCGCTGGAGTTTTACATAACTTCCTCTCAATATTTGATTTTCATAAAGTTTATGGTACAATAACCTCGCTTATTTACCTAAACCATTATACTCGATGTTTAAAGCTTTCGACTATTGTCGATATTTTTTAATGACACAACATCCTTCTGTTTCACCATAGACTACTATTTCTGGTAAATAAACTCACTATAGATGCGATTTTACACTTTGAGTCAATAAAATTGTTAGAAAGAAGATTTTCTCTGCTGAATCGTTTTTAACTCCCCCATGACTCAATGAATTTCTTGTTATTTAAATATGATATATATGTATATATATAAATTCATTTGTTTATTTTCTCTCCTAAAAATGCTAGGAAGAAGGGGATCTGACTTCAACAATTGAATCTCAGTGTATTACAGACCCAGAAACTGCTGAAGCACTTTTAGAATTTGAGCAGCTTGTTGCGCAAAGTCCATGTTTGGATAAAACTCCTTCGATTGGTTAGTTTGCATTAAGGCTAATTGACTTAACGTCCTAATTAATAAATTTAAAATTACCAACTTATATCGATATATTTTGCGTAATACTTCTGACTAAGCCATATTAAATTCCAAGTATCTCACACTTGCCTTACGATATAAGTGAGGGAAAATACTGTAATGGACTTATACTTACTTGTATGGAAGAATAAGCATGGATGACAATACCTACTCTGATTAATGTGTCACAATACAAATAACAGAAATATGTGAATGTCTAAAATTTATTTAAGTTACACTGAACATTAATCTGACGTAAGTAAAGCATCCTATGTTATCTATTACTTACCACCCTACTTTACCGAATGGCTTATGTATATTTGCTAAGAAAGCAACTATTGTTATCCACCATATAAAATAGAACCTCTTTGTCTACAAAACATTTGTACGAATATTAAAGCATTAATCGCTTTAAATTTTATTTAATAAATCTGAACGATATAAGGACAACTTTTTGCACACTCTCCTTCATACACACAAATATACTGGGTAATGATTCATGTAGAACCACCTTGATCAAAATAAAATGACGGGACTTATGTTGATTTTGATTGAACTAAATATTCCACCTTGCTCCTCCATACTATTTAAACTTCTGCCAATTTAATTTGTCATTAGTTTGTTTGTTCTAAAAAACGATTTAAATTAAGTCCCGAAACATCGGAAATTCTAATTTCCATTCACCAGGGTGTCGAAAGTATATCATTATTTTATTATTAGATAACTCCATTGTTTCAACTGTTATCTTTTGTCTCCTTATTCTTATGTAATTAACAGTAACATTTGACTGATGTCAAGAACTTTATTTCTTGTTACTTTTGTGAAGAACAAGCACGATTCGTGCCATTACGTAATTCACGGTCACCAAATTGATAATTTAGTATTAATTGTTTAAACTGTGTATTGGTGTAGAAACGTAGGCTGACCACTTGGTCAACCCTAAACAACATAGGATTTGAAACTATCGTAAATAGATTTAAGATGCCACACTATACGAACTCAGCGTGATGAAATTAATATGATAAGTAGCAAAGGAGTCAGATTGCTAGTAAAATCAATGGTATTAATGATAACGAAAAATAAAGAATATTTCTCCAAAAGAGTGGATAAATTCGTATATTACAAACTATAGAATAATAGTAAAAATTCACCATTTACGTGAAGATAAAGAATGAATGTACCTACATAACTTCGATCGCCTTAATTCCATATGATTCAACACTACTTACTAGCTACTATTATTACGCCGAACAAAATCTAGTAGTTTGAACATACCAACAATTAATGATTTCATGTACTGATGCGACATCTTGTTTCGGCTATCACTAGCTCTCTTTCAATCTACTCCTAAACCAGCTAATATACCGCGTTGAGCTGGATGGTGGTTAAGAATACGTTGCATATTTCCAGTCACCTCAGTCAATGACGATTCACAACCGACTCTCCATCTCAACTTAGTAACCTACGTATACTCTCAATATGTGATCAACGAATTAAAAAGAAACATTTTTCTGCTTAGTCTGTCTTCTAAATATCTTTAAAAAAATTTTCACTTTTTTAGAAACATTAAACAATTTCAAGTTATTCGTTTTGTTGTCATCGTATCTTCGTGACGTACTTTTATGGTTTCGCTACATTATTCAAGAAGTTCTGATTCTTCGACTTAAAAAGCTATAATGTCCTAGTTGATTTTGTTGGCTATTGACATCAATGCTATAATTGCATTTAATAGTTAAAAAAGGGGGGTTAATACACTCGATATCATGATTTTTTTCACAAAATGATCAACAAAGTTTTCTGTGAATCCAATCTGGTTGGTCAAGATTAATAAACTCTCAAGATTTGAAATTCCGCTATTCGGTCCTGAAAGAGATCATACTACAAAGAACGGGAAATATTAGTCCATGATTCACTATTTTAATTTTTATAGCACTACCCTCAAGCTAACCACATAGATTAACATATTCTAGGCAAAATATTTTCTTAATGTTGTCTAGCTTACTACATTAAAAATTTTTGTCAGTTAATAAATGACGTCAGTTTAGTAAATTATACACCTTTATAGGATCGCTAAGTAAACGTCATTTTAAACGGGTTGTAAGTCTTCCTCCCCCCCCACACAAACTCACAAGGTTTATTGACAGATATTGTTGATATTTATTTGCCAAAGCAAAAGTTTATGTTAATGTTATCGTGGAGAGACATTTTTGCTTGGGATGTAGTTGTATTGCCTCCTACGGATAAGCAAGGTAAACAGTCCAACTTTCTGTTTTTAGTAGAACTAATCAGCTGTTTTTGAATTCAACCCATCTTTTATACTTGTCTTTAGTTCCCAGTCGTATGTCTGTCTATCTACCAATAACCAATTGGTCTGCTTATGTTAGCTTTATCGATTCAATTTTTGAATAGATCGATAGGTCTTTATGAATGTTTCTGCAGATATATTCCCTTCTTTTAAAGTTATGCAACCTTGCCATTCGCCTCTTTTGTTTTTCTTTATCTCGCTTATCAGAATGAGAGAATTATAGTTTGTTTTCATGTGGAAAAATGTCTGCAGGATTTAAAAAAAAGTATTCATAGTTCGCGCGTTGATAAATATCGATAATGTTAATATTACAATCACAAATTAATAAAACGTTAAAATTACAAACTTATTTAATTAATGTAAATACCGTGTAGGTAGTAAGTAGTACTGAATTGTTACCGTACCGTAATCTCTGAATTAGTCGCTATCAGGCAAGCAAACAGAATCACAGTAGGTATCAGAGTCATGGATCTGATGTACTTATTATTCACCAAACAATCAGTCGTTAACAATTGTCAGGTCATTTTAAAATAACTTAGTCTTTTTGGGAATATTGAATAGACCAGAATATAGTTACATATTAATTCTGAAAATTGGAGCAAGATGTTTGTTGACCTTGTCAGGGTGATCAAATCAAAATTTAGCTTTAGGAAAATCGGTAACTCTCAGTCTGAATTGTGTTGAAACTATGTATTATTGACTGAAGTCTTAAAAGCACCGAAATTGTGTTGTTTAAGACATAATTAGTTGTTTACTGGGAGATGTTCAGCATTTTACCAGTCTACATCTAATTATTTGTCATTAATGCTGCAGCAAAATCTAGGTGGTGTGATCGAAAATGATTATGGACGTCACACACGCATACACAATGGGAATATTTCTAAGACAATTCAGCATCTATAATCATGTCAAGATAATCACATAATATTAAGATCTATCTTCTATTATTTAAATATTTTCTATTCGTTCGTTTCAGAGACAGTTGGAAATTTCCAAATATTCAAAATAGCTTTTGGGCCAATCCCCCAGTTTATGTATCAATAATTGACTTATCCACTTAAATAAATTACTTTTACAAGTGTCATTAAATCTGTAGACATGTACTATAAATTTTTGCTTTAACGAAATTCACTTTCAGTTTAAAATTTCGATTAAAACAATTGGATATCTTCTTCGTATAGTAATTTGACTCAAAGTCCCGAGTATTTGGTATTCACACTTAGTCAGTGACTTGATAATAGGAGTTAGAATTGTTTTATCGATCTCTCTGTTAATATCTTGTTGTATGTGTTCATTACCCAAAATGCAAGAAAAAATTAGATGCTTCCAGTGGGTTCAACTTTAGAATATAAACAATAAACGTAATATATGTATCAATACCAAGATTTGACTTGATAATTTCGAATATATTGAGCATTGGGTAGATTGTTATAAATATATTAATCTATTTATAATAAACGTAATTAGTTAAGTCAATCCTCGCTAAAATCATCACTTCGAGTATGAGTATACAACGAAACAGAGTACTTCGCTTTTATGTAATATTCACTTAGTTCAATGATACATTAGTTATAAAACTGTCGATTATCTTTTATCAGTTTGATAGTAAGTGAACTATTAAAATGTTCTATTCTCAGACTAAATATTATTTTTAACATATTTGAGTAATTTTCCACAATATTTATTACTATTACTGTTTTGTCCTACTAGAACATATAAATCATACTCTTTTAAAGCATAATGAGTCTTTACACAAGGATTGGGATAATTTAAATGAACAAGAACTGTTGCAACGTTTCAAAGAACAGTATCGAGCAGACCGTTCACATGGTAAGTTTGATCATTATCAGTCTGCATAAAACATCCTTTCTGAATATTTTTCTATCCACCGAATACATATGAGCCACACAAGTCACTTAATTTGTGTGTGGGCTGTGTTACTGACCGGGTGCCAAAACCGAAGCAGGTGGTTTTCTTAGGTGGCACGCCCGGAGCCTTCGACCTAAAGGTCTGATCCACAAGTTAGTGGAGCGACGTTAGGAGATGCAATCTCATGGTAGCCGGTGACCAATAATTGGTTCACACGCCATTTGTCTCCTTAAGATCCTGGAACCCATATACACGATTAGTTTGGGATCAGGGTTTTCCAACTCTCCCATGTGGATCCTTCATATCCACAAAATCGGTTAAGACCCCGGACATTCGCTTCTCATCCTCTCAACTTCGTAAACAACAGTAATGCCGCGAGAAGACAGTGAGTAGGACTTCCCCGGCAGTGGCTGTGTACGCGTGGCCATGTGAAGGCGTTTCGAGAGGAAGGGCTAACTCTCCCCACCCTCGACCGTACCAGAGCATTTGAGGGCCCTGGATAAATACTACTAATGAGTCCTACAGTAGGATGAAACAGCTTTCTAGTGTATCCTGGTTTTCAATGATTATCTTAGTTTAATGCATGTTGTAAACTATGAAAAATGATAATTGTTTATTTCCTACTAAACAGAAAAATATACCTAGTGAATGTAAGAATAGTTTTTGTTCTTACCATAGAGGGTTGTCTCCATTAAACCATTTTCATCAAACACATGAAAACGCTTTTCACTAAGTAGAACTAATCCATTATTGCTTGATGTGTAGTTATTTAAACTCAAATTTAGCTGATTACAATCGTAAGAGTATCTCCGAGAATTCGGACCATTGCTTTTTATTAGAAAATCACGTTATTCGATTTTATTCTGTGATAAACGCGTGTGTTTAAATCTCATTAGCAAGAAGCAAAGGATTTATGCCTGATCAAACTGTGTGTACCAATTCCATATATATATATATATATATATATATATATATATATATATATATATATATATATATATATATATATATATATGTATATGTATATGTATATTGTTTTCTTTCTAATGATCAACATGATAAACTTATTTTTCTGTTTCACTTTCCAATACTCTCCAATTTCCTCTAGTCAAATCTTCACATCTATCTCTTCATTTTCCTCTTATTTCTAATGTAAAATTAAAAGAAAGCTTAAATATAGATGATAAGAAGTTGAAAATCACTTCATTACCTAATGATTTAAATGTTCAACAATCTAGTTATGGCAGTAATAATAATAGTGATCGATCGATAAATTTCGATGCTGTTGAAGATGAATTGGATAATATACTACCGAACTTTGATATGTTGATCAATCAAAAACATCAACATCATCACCAACAACGAAATGTATCAAAGAATGAGATTTTACACAATTCTAGTATCACTACTACTAATACTACTACTACAACCACTACCACTTCAAATATACTGTCAAATCAATTAAATTCAACAAATGAATCAACCTTAAGACTAGAAGATTTGGCAAATCTTTCTAATATGTCGAAAAGTGAATTTAATTCTAAACAAGCACATGCAGTTGCTTTAGCGATGGATAATTTAGATGGAATGAGTGAATGTCTCATTAATAGATCATCAAATGAGAAAATTAATCAATCCACACCAACACAAAAACCTGCAACATGGATAGCAAAATATACACTGCGTAGTCATTTTGATGCTATTCGTGATATTTGCTTTCATCCTAGTGAATCAGTTTTAGTTACATGCAGTGAAGATCATACTTTAAAATTATGGAATTTAAATAAAACTGTTCAAACGAAAAAGTCTTCAATGTTTGATGTTGAACCGGTAAGTATGATTATAAAGTTCATATATTATTTTAAATAGCATAGGCCAATTATTTATTTTTATAAACACTAGTATATGTTAGACAATGAATAATTATACTAACAAATGTCATAAATCAGAGGACATTTTATGCATTTCATGATCATAGGTTAAATCACCAAATAATTTTAATTGAACCACCATTGGAAACCAGGAATCAACGGACAGCTGTTTTGTCTCAGTATGTGACTCCTCGGCAGTGTCCATCTGCCATCCCGTCACAGGGGAGCGAACTCATGACCTTTGGTCTTGGGAGCAAACGCAACCTTTAAACCACTGAGTCAGAACCCAATGGTGTACATATCCAACCTCAATGAATTCGCGTTGTTGTGTGACCATTTTCTATTACTTGTGGTGGATAACTGTTTCACTTCCGACATAGTTAGACTCCACTAATCATAGTTTGTTATTATATCTCCAATAAATCCATCTTGAAGCTAGTCACTATCGAGCACATAACTATCATTAAGACAGGAGATAATAAAATTTCCATAGGTCAAATCAAGAACTGTTCTTAGCTAAATCAGGAGACACTTTACAAATGTTTCGTTCTAGCATGGGACTCCTCAGAAGTGTGCTTTTCATTATTCTTAGTATCTTATCATCATTATTCACTGTTTCACATAATTTCTATTAAGCGAATAAAATTACAAGAAACAGTTAGCGTCACTTTGATCTATCTTTGTACTGGGAATGCTTCGACCCCGAGTGAAACCTCACCATTGCACCTCGGTGGCCTGAAGCTCTCAATGAACCCTAATCAAGTGAGCTCGGACGTGCATTTTGTCAGTGGAAAAGTCTCACTCCCGTTCATTTAAAATTTACATGCTAAGGATTCCATATTATAATATTGAATAAAACCACCATTACCATATATTGGTGTTATTGAGTCCTCCGAACCTAATCTTTGGATTGCAGAGAGTTTTCATTTTTGTTGTAGATCAGTCAGTCACAACGTAGAACTTCGTACGTACGTATATAGAATATATATAGAATACAAATAAACGCCAAGACCACTGTAGAATGGAAGATTATATGTATTATTCTGATACACACAGTTTATGCTTGAATTGGTGGGTTACCAGAGCTTATTTTATGCAAAACGTTTTGCTTTGTATACCACATTTGGTGCAAATGTTTATGGCCGTACAGATGATTTTGAAAGATACTAGTGAAGCAATGTAATCAAAAACTTAAAAAAATGTTTCAAGATTAGACTGTTTGTTAACTTGTGTAATCTTTAGGACGATCAAGTAGGGTACTGTTTGGAGATGCGTTTAGAGAGGTTCAACGGTGTGCGGTCAACATAACCCGCTCTATAAGAGCAAGTTAACTGGTAAATACTTGTGGAGCGAGTCGTATTGACCTCAAAAAATGAACTCTAGGCGCACTCCGGACAGTCTTTTGCCTCACCATCTTAAGGATTACAGAAATCAGTAAACAGTTCAATTTTGGAACATCTATTAAGTTTAGGTCATATTGGTTCACTAGAATCTTTTTTCGAAATCAACCACATGGTCGAAATAATTGATTTTTAAGATATACCATTAAAAATTATGCACAGTAGAAACTCAAGCAATCTATTATTCATAATAATTTATCGCTTTCTATTTCTTTCTTATTTTCTTTCATAAATATTTATTAGCTATTGCTACAACATTTAGTCATTCTGTTCTTCACATTCATACTATTTTTTCAAACTTTATGTGACTTAATAACCACACACAAGTTTGAGTAAAAAACCTTAAGCTATTAAGTGGGGGTTAGCAATATACACTCAAACGATTTAGCCAGAATAGGTCGAGTAGATTTAAAAATCATGATCAAAGGGTATTTTCTGCCTTCCCCAGTAAAAATAGCTTTTAATCGCACGATTGCATCTACAGGACCACTGTAGGGATTGAGTGAATATTGGCTTGATGTTTAAGAGACTCATATTTAAACTATGAGGTTTCAAGTACAAAGGGATATACTACTATTTCAGTTTCGGAGCCAAGATAGTATCAGTGGATATTATTAGAATGCGGGTTAAATTTAGCTATGAGTCTGTACCTGGTTACTGAATTACACATCTGAATGAATACGTGAAACAAAAACATTTCAGCAATAAAAAATTATTGGTACATACCGTAAGTGCCAAGTAATCGAAACTGGAACTGTTAGACAAACTGAAGTCAGACGGGCCATCTTGTGATTGTTTATTTTGTTCTAAACCGCAATGTTCTATGGGAAGTTCCAGTGAATTTTGAAAACCCTTTAACTCAGAATCATCTATATGAGTAGCAAAACAATACTGTAAAAAGTCTTGGAGAAATAAAAAAAACCCTGCGAAACATACTAGTGATAAGAACTTGTCAGTATAGCTTCCGACTGGTGACTTTATTCTAATTTGCTGGGTTTAACTAAGGTGAGGAGAACATATACATAACAGAACCTGGGTAAAATTCCTTGCGTATGTTGTACATGACATTCATTTTATATCTATTTAATACATGGAAAAAAACGTCAATACACTACGCTTAAATCCTAACTACCATAGAAAATGAAGTTAAAAAAGGGGGATTGACTGAACCAGATAAGCGATACTATACAGGATTACCGCATGACCCAATCTGATCTAGCCCCCATGCATCAAGTTGGAAATGATTGCTAATGCACTTTTTTGATTATCCGAATACTGTTTTGTAAAACACTAGCTAAAAAAATTATTGGAAAATCCAAAGAGCCAGGAAAGCAGATTTACTTTGGTTTTATACATAATTAAGCGATGTTATGTAACCTCTAGTTACACATTCTTCACATCTTGTTGAAACATTTCGCAACTATGGAAGCTTTGATGACAACTATATCATGTATATGCAGTTTATGAGGTTTCAGTACTTTCTACTGTTTCTGGATGTCAGGGATGGCGAGGGACACAAAGGCAGGATGAAAAAGTACAAAGGTGTGCATTATCTTGTTATTAATATTCAAGATTGCAGTTGATTTGTCTTAGTTAACAATATGCACATCTTAGTTGAACGGCTTTATGCTGCCCTTCCAATACGAGTTTTCAGTGTATTTGGAATGTAAATAGCTTTGAAATCCAAGATGCATGTTTTGTCCCATTGGAGGCTAATCAACTTCAAGTACTTGCATCCAACTTGTTGGTAACAACAAAGAGACTAAGACTGATTAACTACCGGTTTAAACTTTAACACGTCATCCACTAAGTTAGAGTTCAGATGAATACTAACTAGTCCAGAGAGTATTCGCCAGTCACAATTTAAACGTTCGACACCGAGGTTACATCAACTTTCCTTTCAAAAAAATTAGCAGGAATTCTGCCCGTAACCATACAAACCAGTACAACATACAGCTTGATTGTCCACAGCTCATGGCATTCTAACTTGACTATTAGGCAGTTTATATGAATATGTTTTTGAACTGTCTCGATTTTATGCATATATATTATATGTGCAAAGCAACTACATACCATATTTAAGAGACCCTTGGAGAACATTAGTTTCTGAACTGAGACCATCACTGACTAGCAAACTGACTCCAGAAGCATCGCAGAGTGCTGGATTACCAAAAGTGAGGCCAGTCGACCTGCCTGGCCTGGTAGAATCTACAGGAACACATGTTCCAGCCAATATAGCTCGGTTGGGTCACCGCGATAGGCAAGCTTGACCACTACGTCAAGGTAGCAGCTACAGTCGATAATATCATCAATGCTTATTTCATTTAAAATTGGGCCTTTTACTTGTTCCACGAGCCTTAAATCAGTTTGTTCTGGCGAACTTATTTGTTATTGATTGTCACCATAGGCTTTCCTGTCTTCCTTCGTCCTTGCATTTAAGTTAGTTGTCTTGTTCTGTTGACATCTGACCATTTTGTTGATAGACCTTTTTAAAATGGGATCTAAATCTACGTATTTACTAATCACCGATTGATATGAATATCAGACTTCCAGAAGTTCCCTGGTTGTCCTAAGGTTTCCCTGATCCGAAATTCGGACGTTTTCGAAGTTTAATACATATCCACTTAATGCACTTTCTTGTGTTCTCATTTTACAACAAATATATTTTCTGAACGTTAGTTTTGCATTCCAAACCGATTTTATAGCTGGAGAAGGAAGTTGAATATCACTTATTGAGCACCGGGCAGCTAATTCGATCCATTTCAACCTTGTCACCATAACTATATACGAATTCAAGTCCTAAGGCGTTCAGTTCTCACAATGAACATCCTATTATTTACATTTTTACTAAATTCTATTTTCATAGTAAACAGATCTCCACAAACCACAATCTACTTAGACATATATATTATCGATTCATCTGTTTAACATTTTCATTATTTACATTAATTTTAAATAACTAGTTTTATTTAAACAATTAATATAAATTAAGTGAAATAATCCATTCATCACTTGTTCTAGATAGTATTATCATTAATATTATTGTCAAGTGTGTTTAACCCAATAAGTGTTTGTTTTCCTGTAGAAATAACTACATCTATACGTGTTAGCTCTAATCAATCAACACACTATGTATTCGTTGACTATTTTACATTTCTATATCAAATGCTTTAGAATATTGAATAGAGTGCTCATACATATTATACGTTTATTGATTGGCATCTTTTGTTTTTCACTATTTTTTTATATTTATACACAACTTGAAGAACTGTGTTAAATTATTAAAACGTATAAATTTCCTGTTGGGTGTTTTTAAATAATCATGGTTTAATTGAAACATTGTAACATGAAACATTGTATTGGAATGTATATAGTTCTTGAAACATATGTTCTACTAAGATTTCACAAATAACACACTCTCCAATTAGTTATAAAATTATTTAATATATCCCCATCGTTAGGTGTTATTTATATCGTCTTAACAATATTCTAACATATCATATACACTTTGCCACTGGTATCTATTTCTTTTTTTTCCTTCGGATAACAGATATACACATTTCGTGGGCATACTTCACCAGTTTTATCAGTAGAAATGGTTCCTAGTTTATTGAAAGTAGATAATTCATGTCAATCAGGACTGATGCTTTCACCGATCTATATATACTCTGGGGACTTATCAGGTTGTATACGTAGTTGGTGTGTGTCTAATCTACAATTAGATCCTTATGATACTTTCGATACAGCAATGATGGGTCCTATTTTTGAAGGTCATACCGACGCGGTTTGGTCATTGTGTTCACGTGTAAGTGTATTTCTTTGTTTATTTTTTGGTATATTTGTTAGTGTAAATGTTACTTGTCGTGCAAAATAGTTCGTTTTTTCCTGTTGTTCACTTGTTACATTACATACTCATCAGTCTTTCACTAAAGATAATGAATTACTTAAACTTCGAATTTCTCGATTTGTTACAAAGGTAATTAGTTAACCGGTAAATCCTGTTAAACACAACTATGTATTTGAAGTTTCCAGTTGTTCTACTATACTTAAGAATAGGGGGACGATTGAACTATTCCAATACTGGTGGTTTTATAGCTGACTTGTTAACAGCAGTTGATATACAAAGCCTCAACAATTAGCCGTTAACAGAGGATGAGGTGTAGGAAAGATCCATATTCAAACAAAATAACTCAAAAACGAAAGCATGACCTCCAAACACTCGTGAAACTAGCGAACTATTAATAGTGATAATCAATCAGAAAAGGATGAAGATCATATAAAATACTAAATTTAAAAAAAAGTATTCACTGCTACCGTTACCTAGTAAGACTTCAGCATAATTCACAAAAATTAGGTGATTCCGTGATCGCTTCAGTAGTAGCTATGGTAAAATGATAAAAGCGTTACTATTTCAATGTCAATATACAAATATGAATGAGCTTGATTTAATGAATGAATTTCAAACCACTTGAATATGAAAATTCATAGACTTTATTGAAAAAGCAATAATAACAGCACCTGTAATCGTTATTTATTTACAAATAATTGTAAAGATATATAAGGTATTTTTCACGAATTTATTTGGTTTCAAGTACTGGCATGCGTAAATGTTTGAAATTACCGTGTCGTTCACCTGTGACGCATAAAACAGTCTTTGTATAATGAATATTCATGAAAACTCAATTGGTTGTTGAAGGCATACGACTAAGATTACTGTCTGTAACAGACTAATCTAAGTTATATATATATATATATATATATATATATATATATATATATATACTCTTCAGTGCTTAACCAGGGGCTAGTGACAAGTACCATGCTATTTTGAATCCATTTCAGATCTAAAATTGATATGCATAAGTATTTAATGTAATTTAAGCAGATTGTCATAATAATTCAGCAATATTTGTATAGTCTGTAAAATAAGCTGTTTCACTTAATATTAAAGAATTAAATAATTATAAACTGTTCTCTCTCTCTATATATATATATATATATATAATACAGTACGACGGTTTACTGCTTTCAACTTCCTCTGATGGTACTTCTCGTCTATGGCATTTACGTCCAAATTCATTTGTCAGTTCTGATGTATATTACATTAGTAAAATGCTTAATAAATGTGAGAATATATCTCAACAAGACTCAACTCCTACTTCAGCCACATTTGTATGTACCAATCTAGCCCAATTCGCTGCTGGCTTCAATTCAGGTCATGTATGTTTATTCAATTTGGATACACATCAAATTGTTAGAAATTTTCAGTCGATTAATAAGACAGGTTAGTAGTTCAAGATAGTTAAAAAAGCATGGTCTAGAATTCTTATATTGTAAATGAATATTTTATTTAATTTCCAATATGAGTTTTCCTCATCTCACAAATCTAGAAAATTGCAATCTGTTTTTTTTAGATATTCAGAACTGAAATTCGATCAATCTGTTAGCATACTTGGATCTTGAATGAACTGTCTCGATATAGTAGCATTTTAATGATGAGTTTTTAATGTATTTGGATTGTGGCTAACAGTGGAATTTAAAATGTTCGTTCCGTCTTATTCAAGATTTTTCAGTTTGTTGATCACATTAGGACTGAAACTGAGTATATATATATATATATATATATATATATATATATATATATATATATATATATATATATATGCAGTTATACAATAATAAAAATCTGCTTAGTAACAGTAACACCTTCAAGTCATCAAGACTATGTATTGAAGTAAATGTACAGATGAGCTGTACATAAACTGTGGCTAACAACAGGATCCAAGATGTGCATTTCGTTCTATTTGGGGTTTAATTACAGAATGTACTTAAATCTCGGTGTCCATATTCACATTACGACGCAAACCTAGGATCTTTCTCATTTAAATGATAACGCGTTATTTACTGAACTACTCAATCCAGATAGTCACCAGCTTGTTCAATGGATATGATGTTTATATTATTAATAGTAATAATAATTAGTATTTTTCAGCTTAAATTATTAACTAGCAACTCTGGTTTGTTTGAAAATGGTCTTTATTTTTCAATTATTTTGCCGATGTACCTTGTAGCATTAGTGTTTTTTTCCTAATTTATATCGAAATTAATGTATTCTTCACTACTTATTCGATTATGATTTGTGTTGTTAGTCATTAAAACCTATTGACCGTTTGTAGTTATACAGTATAAAATGGTCAGTACATTCATGATATGAATGTAAAGTAATGTAAAAATACATTAAGATTACTAGTTGTTGTTTCTTGTAGTTCATATCATTATTATCTACTAATATAGCCAGACAGACTTGTGTTGAATTTAGCTTGTTCGATATAATTCTTTTGAATGGTAACGGTTCAACAGCTTTCAGGCCATCTGACCAATTGATCCACTATGTATGCTACAATACTTTATTGCCAACTGTATTGTAACTATTTAACTGAAAACTATTATATTTGTTATTATATAGATAATGTATTCATTTATTTATTTTCTCAGATATCAGTGATACTTCTCAGGACGCAAATGTATACTCTGTAAATTCTATCATTTCTCATCCTCATCTCTCATTAATAATTAGTGCTCATGATGATCGTCAAATTCGTTTTTGGGATTCGTTAAGTGGCAAATGTGTTCATTCATTGACTGCTCATTTGGATTCAGTAACAACACTCAGTTTAAATTCTAAAGGAACATTATTACTCTCAGCAAGTAAGAATAATCTCATCCTCTTTGTTTATATGTTTTGTGAAAAATAATGCCATCTCATACTTTAAATATTTTTTTAAAGTTTCAATATACCGGTTTGTTTGGTTGCCAACTGTAAATAATTTATGACATCACATTAAGTAATATTGTTAATACTAATATCTAGACAGAAATTCGTGAAGTATCTTTCACTTCAACTCAAGATAATGATTGTGTCCATTAACATCTGTTGAGCACCGATTCCATCAGTTCCTACATGAATAAACTGAACTGACCTTAATATCTCCTGTTAAAACTAATTATTTCATTAATCAGTCTGAAGCTCAATATAATAATGTTTTTAATTTGATATGATACTATTTACAGCTATAAACAAAGGTCAAATGATGATTGGTAGTGTTGTACTATGCTTCTGTTTGATTGATAGCCTGAGTGCCAACCTCATAATTATCTGTTATTTCTTTATTTAACTGATAAAATGAATGTAAGCTGATCAGTCTTTTGTAATAAAAGCTTTCTATTATATCCATGTAATTTCTTGTTTCATTGACACAATATGTTCAAACTACTGCCAATGAAATTAATTTTCATAATTACTGATAAATTTTAGTAATCTTATTTTATGGTAGTCGACACGTCTTGTCAATTCATGTTATTCTCAGGACCACATTTCAAAATTGTCTCTTGTTTACTTTGGCTTTGATCTCCTACCACATACTTTTTTGTCTCACTCTACGATGGATGAAATTCAGTTGCTTCAATTTTGTCAAATTAAGGTTTTGAAACATAGAGTTCTCTTCTAGGGGTTAGTTTTTACTTTATTAAAAGATTAAATCAGGACATTTGTACAAATAAGTATAAATATATATAGTATGTAACTCATTTTTCAAGTATTTGTCTGTCCAGACTAAAATATAACGAGTTTTGAACTGGTAGCTTAATGTTTATGAACCTCATACGTATCTTTTATTAAACTAGATAAAACATCTGAAAACGGAGTTGCATATTCACTTTATTTCATTCGATAATGTCGAAAATGTTGATCTAATTTTCTAATTTGAACAGGGGCTCATAAGATAACATCGTTTTCAAATTTGTTCTTATTAATTTTAAATATTAATGTTTTCCACTGAAATATATTTACGACCGTTTTTTAGAATATCACTTATATGTTATGATATTTACTAATGTGGTACACTTCTTTCTTTGTTTACCTACAGTGAAATAAGGGCTTATTTCTGACAGTGTTTACATAAACATATAGGTAAAGAAAAAAACACTCAAGTTAAACTTTTCATATCTTAATACCGGTTTAAATGTTAAACTGATTGAATAGTCTGTTTTAAATTACAGTTAATTTTAGTTTCAGTAAAATTTAGATTTTAGTTATATAAGGTCATATATCTAGGTTTTTTTCGGAAATATGATTAGTTACACACAAGTGGAATAATAATTAAAACTTTGACTTCGTTAAAAAAAACGCTCTAAAGTTGACCTTATCACATTTTTTCTTAAATATATGAACCAGAATAATATATTATAGCATTGTATTACATTCCTCAAGGTCATGACTGTTCCATACGAATATGGGATATCAATACAAAATTATGTATTCAAGAGATTACAGGTCATAGGAAAAAATTTGGTGAAGCTATTAATGCAGTTGCATTTCATCCAACACAACATTTTATGGCTAGTGCTGGGTCTGATGCATTGGCTAAAGTATATGTTTAAAAGAAGAAAAATGGAGAGCAGATGTGGTTACAATCAGTACATTTAATGTTCGCTGATATCTTAACCATCAATTGTATATACCTACATTCTTTTTGTGTACTTTTTTATTATTAATAAAACATTCTGTCAAGTATTATTTATTTCGTGCGTATCGACGTGAATTTTTCTTCACAGTAATGTGATCAATTATTTAACAGTCAATTTTTTTTATTTTGCTTATCATTTTCTGTCCAATCTGTTATTGAATACTACAAACTAATCTTGTCATATATATTAATATATCGAATTAATCGATGGCTGTTCTTTCAATGTCAATCATCTATAACATTTAATACCTACTTACCGGTGGTTGTATCTAAGCACGCATTATCTTATATACAATGAACAGGCTAGTTACCTAACTTTTTATTTCTGTAATATTTTTATCATTTGACTTTACATTTATTATTTTAATACAACGTTCGCTGTACACACTATGTATCCGCAGTTGGTTGATATGTTCTGCTGAAAGGTTTTTATTTCTAATGGTTTTAAGCTTAAAGAAGAATAGCTCTTGTCCACTGCTTTTTTTTCTAAAATCGATCAGTAATAGTGACATTGGATTTCAAACACATATACCGCAATAATTTAGTGTAAAATCACGATCAAATTTATCCTGTTATATGTCGGCAACAGCAATAAATTATGGCACTGCGAAATTCCGTGAAGTAAATATCCCTTACTGGTATGTGATTCCAACTATCTAAAATATTGTAGAAAAATTTTTTATTTCAACAGGATCATATGAAAAGGAAATAATTCTGTAGATGAACTTACCTATGTTCATAACTCAGACATCCTACTTGGTAAGAAAACGTATGTTATAATAAGAGGATAAGATAGTAAATAAGACTACAATATAAATCTGGATAGTAGTTTATGAATATGTGTGTATCCATGATTCCCGTCGCTAGGTTATAAATAGAGGACAGTCAAAATATCACAACAAAGGCACTGTAATTGCTTTTTCTTTGAACAGCTTACCATGTTAAATGTCTACTGCCTTAAAAATGGAGAAAAACCATGTCGGTTTTATATACCTTGTCGATTTTTCGTGAAAACTAATATAAGAAGGATAGATAACACTAAGATGTTGAAGTGTTGCATAGTAGCTTTTATTGGAAATAAGGCATGTGTTTTTCAAAAACAAACCCAGTCTAAATTGCAACAGGTTGCGTACTCTAACTTCAGGATAAAAATATATAAATTAAGATATATTGTTCAGTTATTTCAATAATTAGATACATCTTATTTAAGTATTACAAGTGCATGCACTCAACTTTTAAAAAAACTTTTCCTGCGTATGCTAAGAAACGCTGATACAACCCAGCTCCTCAGGCCTAATTTAAGTTGGATTTTGAACATGTAACTTGATGTGCTGACCTCGAACTGTTACTTAGTGATGAAGTACAATCGATAGCCGAATATCATGTAAGAAAAATATGACCTGAAATACTACGTTAATATAACATGCATAAGCTACTCATATACCACACTTGATCATAATTCTATATTTTGAATTATCTAGCAAAACTTGTTATTTCTTGGTAATATATAGATTAACTGACGGAATCAAATTCAAACTTCTGAAGTGATTGATTATCACAGGTGAAATAAAACTGCTAAGAATAGTAGTCATAGATTTTACAACACTAAAACTTTTCTAGTTACTCCATGTAGCTAAAATGAGAACAGATGCTCTAATCAATATAAACCTAGGGATCACCAATAAAACCGCTTATTTATAGACCAGCTTACAATTTTAACCAAAAGCTACATTCGTTGTCAATGTATAGGAAACATTTAAACTAACACCAACGGGGGGGTTTTAAGGTTTCGTAATACATGAGAATATTCAGGTCCGACAATTCATCATTGGACACGATTAGCTTACTTACCAGTTGCATCAACTTGTATCAATTAGCATAACATTTTAGTTACTATCTCCTAATATTGTTCAGTGAACAAGTACGGATAAATGTCCTTACTTTGTTAAACATAATTACGAATGAAATACCAGCATTGGATAAAGTGATACAGTTAAATATCTCGCGGGGAAGAATGCTATAATACATGGCTTAGGATTGCAATAAAAGACTGTTGAGTTTGAATTGTGGTTACGTAATGAACAAAGGTTGGGGATACTCAGGAACACGGAGAGTTAAGGTCAGTCAGGCATTTTAAAAGATGCGTGAATAGTAGTCCTAATATCAGGGGAGGGGAGGACCGTCAATCATTTTCTCCTGGATAAATGTTATAACTATTAATATATATTCCTTATTACGACCCAGCCATTCTTATTGCTTAGTATTCTTGAACACCAATACACTCGACAAGTCCCTAAGTCAGAACACGGTTGAACAGGAAAGAAATTATATTACAAATAACAGGAATAGATGAAGTAGGAAGCGCAATAATAAATACGTCAGTATATTTATAGATTTTACATGAGAAGCTTTTTCACCTGAAAACATTGATATACGAGTACGGCCCACATCCTCTAATTGATCTCCCTAAAACACACTGTTTGAGTCCAGCAAAAGACCGATTTCCCAAACTATACTACATTCCACATCCCCGTCCGCAATTTACCGTACTGATAGTCTTATTCCTGTAAACATTTGGTTAGAGACCAGGTGTTATTCGTTAAACTACCTCCGTATGCTAGAAAAGCGCTATAAAACAGCATTCTCTTGTGGCTAACCAGGCAAGTAATAAGGTCAACATTTGTATTTCTCTTAGTTTGTCTTCACATATTACGAGGTTACAATCGACTTCTTGATCTAAGTAGATGATAAGAATCCTAGAGACAAAATCAATACAGTTTTGTTCGTTGCTCTTGCTTTGTAAAATAAAAGTCAATACATTTTTGAACTAATGAATATTGAGAACTAACGAAATCTGACGAGAATCATGGTTTCACAACAATTCTCTTATGCATCCCAGGGTACGTAGTAGTCTTCTAGGTCTATGCACCTAGCAAACCTTCATCAAGACTCGTTTGCAACGTTAGAGAAGATACAGTAACATGACCACACAGGGACGAAATCATATTTGAACATCATTACTGGCGCTGAGTATATTTCGTCTGAATGCACCTCACCAGGTCGCTGTTCGTATAGACGAGGTATTAATTACGGTTCTTATGAACCAATCACCCCAGTTACCAGGCAATCACACTGTCTATCATTGTGACGTCACTAGTGTTGTCATAGAACCAACTACCAAGCATACTATATTACTTCAACACGGTCTGTTGACGAGAACGGTATGAAAAGAGATGCTTATATGTTAGTCGTCTATCAGTTAGTGTATAGTTGGATCATATCCACTGGCTAGATAACTTTTTGTCAGTAATCGCATTATCAGCATGTTTCATGCCAAATAATTGAGTCCCAGAAGATGAAATGGTACGGAGATGTACTGGTTAATTAAAATCCCGCAACACGACTCTAGCTTTCTAGCCAATACTGCAACCTTCATAAGATGGGAAGTCTTTGTGAAATTAAAACGGAAAATGGTATTCACAAAGCAATATTTCATGAGTTTCTAAGAAAGAAACCCCATCCCAATCAAAGAATGCTACGAAGGTCCACGAAATATTGTTCCGGCTATGATCAATTTTCCTTCACTAAAAAATAAGCTAGCTGGCGAGCCCGGGAGAGGTCTAGAAATGGTAAGGATTGCTGTTTTCATGTTTAACTATTACACCGTCGTTTTATTATTTAACCTAGTGAACCACTCACGTGTCTGTAGTATTCTGGAACAAAATGCACTTTTATAACAAATCGTGACAATGCACAAAGGTCACTAGGAAATCGCTGACATATTCAGTACAGTATTTATTTTATTGATTTAACACTTACTCAATTATTTACAAGATAGTTTGGACACAATTTGTATCAAGACTTGTCATCGGTAATGTATTTGGAGAACGTAGTAACCATACTTAGTTGTTATGTCCGTCTTATGATCGAATCATAAATTATAAGCTTTAATAATTGTTGCACCCTAGCATATTTGACTCAATGTATCACGTGGGGTGAAACACCATTCAGCGGCCAAAACATATCAAACAGCCTATAAAATGACGTATTGATGACATCGCTCTATCGTGAACTACTTAAAGACATTTGCATTTTTGTTTTACAGGGCAACTCTTCTCATGAAAAGTCTTGAGTCTTTTGAGGTCACTAAATTTGACGGACCGTAGTTTTTATAGAGAAATATTTGGTAAGTAAGCATGGTTGAACTCAAACTAAGTTTCCCAGCCTTAACTAAAATCTAATGGGAAATAACACTCGATCTGAACAACTGCCTATAATAGTTGGAAAAGTGGAATTTTACAGCTTTTGGTGCGTCACAAACATGTGGCTTTCGATCGACTGACTTCCCCAACATCCTACAACAGTAACCGACTAGAATCTGGGGCATAGTTATATTCAACGTTCGAAAACTGTTTCTTTGAATAACTCACTTTTGTCTTGTTGTTACGGTAGTTTTAATAGATTATACTTGTTAAGTCATATTTGTTAGTATAGCCAGAAATAATTCTTGACATTGATGATTGAGAAACCAATACATTTGCTATGGAGAAGACTTTTTACAGGTGTACAATAGTATTGTAGGAGTTACCATAAAACCTAAGTAGTACCAATTATGCGGTCTCACTATGACGCGATTAAGAGCAACCAGAAAGATGATACCAAGTTCACTTTGACGAGTGAAACGTACGCATAAACTACCAAAGAGATAGTACAGTGTGCGGTGTGGTTATAAGACGGAAAAAATTGAAGTTAACATATGCCAGGTGTCGCCACACAAAATGGTGCTATTCATTAACATACCAACCCAACTACCAGTGACTAACAAATACGACAATCGGGACCAACAAAACCCAGAGATCTGGAGTCCAGATGTAGTTGCCGAAACGTTTACGGAATTGATGCATATGGTGAATCTGAGACAAATCAAACAAGCCATCTTAGTTGAAATTGAGTTTAGAAAATGTAACAAGAGATATGCGCTCCCCCACATTTTTGTGTATCCAAGTAAGCAGACAACTTGCAAGTCAGCGTACTCACAATCACATCACTAGACACAATGTGTCGCGTCCCTGTAAATGCAAGTCGACTTTGGCGTGTTTACTTTTGCACACTTAAGATGTCTAGTACTTAGTCTAAGTGTAGTGTCTCGTCATAAGAACTTGAACTTAAGATGGCACTAGATTTTCTTAATCACAAAAACACAAGACAACTTATCCACACTTCGTTCTAAAAGTTTGTTGAACCAGTGGTTACAATTATCGGCTGGTCACATACTGTAGATGTGACATGACCTCGTTCTTACCAATGCACTGAACTCCTTAGCACGCGAACACGAATAAGTGCCTTAAATATAATACGTGTCACTACGCCTCATAAAGTTTTAAATAAAGCAGAATCCACTTCTTGTAACTGCACCAAAACATCTAATAACTCAGCTGGCTAATTAACAAGAGTATATTTATATCTCTAGGAA